CACTCATTGCCTCGCGCATTATGAACGACGGAACAAACTGAGTCTTGTAGATACCACCATTTTTCTTGGAATCACACTAGACGCGAAGCTTCAATGGAGCCCCCATATATCAAAACTAGCAAGCAGACTTAGTTCTGCAGCATATGCTGTAAAAAAGATTAGAAGTTTAACCAGTGTTGAAACAGCTAGACTAGTTTACTTCAGCTACTTCCATAGCATAATGTCGTATGGTATTTTGCTATGGGGACACGCAGCTGACACTGAAATTATATTTGTTTTGCAGAAGAGCGCCATAAGAGCAATTTATGATTTAAAGCCTAAAGAGTCGCTGCGACAAAAATTTAAGGAAATTAATATATTAACTTTGGCCTCTCAATACATTTATGAAAATGTAATGTACGTACACAAAAATAAAAGTAGTTTTACAAAAATAAGTGATATTCATTCTGTAAATACTAGGAACAAACACAAGCTAGTAGTACCAGTTACTCGACTCCATCGAGTCAGTAATTCATTCTTGGGGCGATGTATACGCTTTTACAACAAAATTCCAGAAAATATACAAAGTTTGACCTGTTCAAAGTTCAAAAACTTTATTAAACTAAGTTTGTATAAAAAGGGTTATTATAATATTAAGGAATTTATGGATGATAATAACCCCTGGAAATGAGGTGATCGCTACCAAGCTATTTCTAATTTGTTGTGTTGTTAATTTGTGTAACATCATGATTGTAAGCTGTTATTTAAAAAAAAAGGTCCCGCTGGGTTTCTTGCTGGTTCTTCCCGGGACAGAGGTTTTTTCCGAACCAGTGGTAATCAAACAAAAGAGTGACTTTCAATAAGTATTATTTATAATCTATATTGAATAAAAAAGTTTCTGTTTCTGTTTCTGTTTCAAAAAACCGTTTGGTATATATACATGACTTTGATGATGTAGTGGAGAGAAAGGAATTAAATTATGATAGTTCTGCCCACTATTTTCGAAATGTATCCTGTACCTTATGAAATCTACTTTCACCAGCAACTTTTATCGACTAAAATTTATTTTTATTTTTAAAACCTTCATGAAAAAAATCCTCCTTCTTTCTCAAAGGTCGGCAACAAACCTGATGTTGCCAATGTCCATGGTTGGTGGCGATTATTTCCCATCATGTTAGCCACATGCTCCTGTATTCCATTTTCGATAAATAAAAACATGCGTGTCGTGGAATACTCGTTGGAACGAAGTTCCTTTCGTTTTTATTGATAAACATATTATATTATTGATTAACAAATACAAACAAATGAATTACTAGAATTAAAATTAAAATGAAGCGTCGAAAATAATATTTCTTTCATGGCAAGACAAGAAAAAGTGCTAGGGAGATGGATATTATTCCATCTCGCTTGCACAATAGAAAGGGGGTCGTGACGTAAAAATCTTACACCTTTTTTTCGCCAACTTCACATCCGTTAAATTCGTACCGTGCGATAAGTAACTTCTTTCCAAAAAGTAACTTAGTTATCCTTTTTCTTATAATTTGAACATTCTCTGAAAAAATTCCTCGAGAAATACAATACTACAATCCAATACCAACGAAGAAAGCTACACTCAAACACAATACCATTCGTTTGCGAATACAAAATTCTCTAGAGAGTAATATATTGTAGCGAAATACACACAGGAATAAACGGTTAAGAAAAATGGTTAAGAGTGACGAAAACTTTTATCAAAATAAACTAATAACACGTACGTTTACTTTGGCATTATCTCTAAATATTATGTTTGCGACTGTATCTTGGGTAGCTTTTATATAGAGCTAGGTTTACATATTATGTACTAGTATTTAATCACTCACTGGGGTGGGTCTCCTCACTTATTCCTTCTCAATTATGTGAAAATTTTAGATGCTGTGGTCCATAGACATCTATCCTCGATTAAGAGTCTAAATGCAGATGCGTTGTCACCCCTGTGGATTTAGATGAAATATCTCGGATCCAGTAATAAGGGTCTCCGGTTCTCTACACTCACCATAAGAAAAACAGCAGTATTAACACGTTCACTGTCCCGTGATCCACATATGGTTCTGACTATTGTGTCTTGAAACCGGATAGTGAAAGTGTTAAGCTGCTATTAAGTTTTACGCTGGTATTATGTGAGGGCGCGGTCCTCCCCAGGTTGAGTCAACCCCCTCGTGTTACTACCATAATATGCATTATGGCTCTACCACGTACAAATATAGAGAGATACTTTCCATTACTGAGAGTATGTGGCAAATAAGCATTTAAAATTGATACTATTATCTATAGCGCGAATTTTGAAAATTAACGCAGCATGTTTAAGCTGCTATGAGTATATAATGCACTCTTTCTCAAAGTGCGCGATAACGCCCCCTTGTGGGCGTTGGTGACCTAGAGGGGGGCGTTAAGAGGTCTAGATAATAATGGGGGGCGTTGGTTGATTTGTAATTTCATTTAGATACTTTATATTTTAAAATTTACTAAAATTCAAACCTATCTATTACTCAATATCAAATTCTGCCCTGTACGATGGTATATAAACTAGAAAGGATAGCCCATACGCCGTACGAAATCAAATTGTAACAAGTTTTTGTTAAATAACGCTATTGGTGCAATCTGGCATCAATCGGTTGGCTCATCGATACTTGTCTTAATTCGCTCAGTACAATTGAGCGTCGAGATATAAACGAGTTTGTGCGTGTTTTTCTTGTTCCTGTAGGTGCGTGCTGTATTTAAATGTTATATAAAAGCTCGTAATAATTTTTATATTTTCATTAGTGGTCTCGCGCGCTATCTTTAAACAAGTATGTCGGAAGCAAAAAAGAAGAGACGGCAATATAGTGCACAACTGTTACGACTGTTTTTGAGTAAAATCGAACTTGATATCAACAAACTTGTTAAAAATCATCAAATTCATGCATCTTTTAGTTTTAGAACTAAAATTGATTACCTATCTATATTGTTTCTTTTAATTTGATTAAAATATATTATAAAGTTGCGTTTTAATTGCTCTCACTGGTAATAGTGTCTATTTTAGAATGTAAGCTTAAACATCAGAACCGACTAATATAACACGCCATAACTAAATTAATTAAAGTAATGAAATTTTAAGTTTCAGGAGTATATAAAAAATTAGAGTCGCTGAAAAATAATTAAATTTTCAAAGAGGTTGGTAAAAGAAATGAGTTTGATAATCTCTGGTATAATGGAATAAATAAAGAAATATTTGAGAAATATACTGCGTGTGAATGTTGAGTACTATTTTTTTATAAAATAAAGGTGACAAACGAGCACACAGTCCATCTGAGGGTAAGTGGATGCTGTGGCTCATAGACAACTACATTTATTGTCGATTAAGCATCAAAACGCTGATGCGTTACCCCTGAGGATTAAAATGAAATGTCTCTTTTTCACTAAAAAGGGTCTCCGGTTCTCTACACTCAGCGTATGAAACAGCAGCGTTAAGGTGAAAGCTCCAGGGTGGTCCGCGAAATTCAAATTTTCTTACGTTTTGTGGACTTTGCAGGTCAGGATCATGTTCAATATTTAATAAAATATGATTTGCGACTGTAACAATGTGTTTACAGAATTATTATCATTAAAATCACCAATACATCCCTCCAAGTTCATATAATTCCTTTGAATCAGTTTTTCTGGAAATAGCCATATAATAGAATTATACGAACTTAGGGGGTTGTATGGATGATTATAATGATTATAATTCTGTAAATACATACTCGTCACGGTCGCGAATCATATTTTATTAAACATACAACCTGACACTGACCTACAAATTGCAAACAACATAAGAAAATTTTAATTTAACGGGCCACCCTGGAGCTTTCACCTTAAGCTGCTACCAATTTGATTCTCTATTTGTTTTAGAGAGTCTCAATTCAAAATAAATTAAGCATTCATTCGATGTTTGAGGATGCTTAAATTACAAATAACGCGTTGACGTCACGACAACGCCAAATTTCTATTCCATTTCAGAAACAGATTATCCCGCCTCCCTTGGTAATTTATTGCTTTTACGAGAGCAATCACACGAGCTGGAATTTGTTTATATGAAAGGCAACACGTTCATTCTTGTTTTGGGATTAACCATTTTCAATAACGTTCAGCGACGTTTATTAATGAGCCCCTGCCTCGAGTATTTTATGTGGGCGTGTATGATATACGGTGCTAATGCTAATAATTTGAAAATCGGTAGAGAACTTTTGTAATGTATATAACTCCTTAATGAATAGGACCAAATATGCCTTCAAGTTGTTTCGCCACTACACTCGAAAATATATATTCTTTTTGACAAAAATATTTTAAAGATAACTATTTTAAAATGATTACCTTTGTATTTTTTGTAACAAAATTACTTTGACATGCTTAATTGTTAATCATCAAGCATGTTAATGTAATTGTATAAACTTTTGTAGACGAAATAAAGGGGAATAACAAGGTAAAGTCCAAGCTCTCTACGGGCTGATGACGAAAATTCAATAAAGCAAGAGCAAACAACACAGTCAGCAATAAACTCCCAACGGAGCATATAAAATTTTACATTAAAAAATGTACATAACACACATTAAATATTTTATAATCCTCATAGTATGACGTAAATAGGTGACTGTCAAGTTGTTCTACTAATCGTAAGCATGACAATTATGAGGTCCCGAATTCGAAACTTCGGGTCGGGCCAAAATTGAGTTTTATATGTTAATAAAATAAAAATAAAACAAATCTCATTAGCATTCCTCCAACTACCTGACTCTTGAAAGCACTTGGGTCCTGGGCCTGATCACATTTCGGTCTTGTCGGGTTTCCTTCCAATCGGACTACGAGGGTTAGAGAATAGAGAGTGCATCTGCACTTGCGCATACACTCGTGCACTATAATCTTGAATTGCGTGGTAAATAATAGTAATCCAATGGTACTGGCCCCCGTGGCCGAAATTTAGTATGAAGGGCTATATTAGAAACGTATGAAAATATAGTGTAACTTACCCTAGCATGACCAATCTGTAGCAATTCTTCGGTGGAGGGGCGGAGTCTTCACAACCCTGCGGCAGCGGTACACTTGGTCCTGGAGATCGATCCGGTTCCGATTCGTCTCCAGTTGCTGCTCCACGCCGGCACAGCCATGACGTGCCACATTTATCCCTCGCATCTTCGACCGGCGCTGCAAACTGGCACTTTTTTGGAGATCTCTGTCTCCCCGTAGCTGATAATGACGACTTCAACGGCGATGATGGTGTTCGTACGGGACTTGGCGACGCTCTCACTGGGGATGGTGACACTTTCACTGGGGACGACTGAAGAGACAACCCACCGCGTTCAGTTGCACCGTTCAACATTGTTCAGTCTTTTTCATTGTGGTACTTTAGGTTTCATTTCTGTTAATTTGAGATTTCACATCATTTTTATTTAATTTGTTACGGATTAACTATAGTAAAAAGAATTAAATATAAAAAAAATAATGTCTATCATTTTTGAACCATTGAGATAACAGTGACGTCTAGCGGTAATACAAGTTTTTTTTTATAGGAGAGGGGGCAAACAAGCATGCGGCTCACCTGATGGTAAGTGACTACCGCCGCCCATGAACAACCGCAACATCAGGGGAATTGCAGATGCGTTGACGGCCTTTTAAAAAGGAGTAGGCTTTTTTCTTGAAGGTCCCTAAGTCGTATCGGTCCGGAAAAATCGCTGGTGGTAATCGATTCCACAGGGAAGTCGTGCGAGGAAGAAAACATCATCTTCTAAATCGCACAGTGGTGAACCGCCACTCATCCAAATGGTGTGGATGGTATCGGGAGTTCTGCCGCGATGTGCGTTCGTGAAATTTGGCAGCTGGGATTAATCCGAACAATTTCTCAGAGCACTCCCCGTGGTAAATGCGAAAGAAAATGCAAAGAGATGCAACATCTCTTCTCAGCGCCAAGGAGTCGATCCAATCGGAAAAGACTCGGTCGTCGACGATTCGAGCCGCTCTGCGCTGGATGCGGTCAAGTGGAAGTAGCTGGCACTGGGGAGCCCCAGCCCAGAGATTGGAACAGTATTCCATGTGAGGCCGAACCTGCGCCTTGTAAAGTTGCAGGCGTTGAGCTGGCATGAAATACTGTCCCGCTCTGCTGAGCACGCCAAGCTTTTTAGAGGCCAATTTGGCCTTCTCTTCCAAGTGACCACGAAACTGCACGTCACTCGATATGTCGACGCCGAGGATTCCGATACTGGCTGAGGCAACAACGGGAGTACCTTGAAACTGAGGAGACACGACAAAGGGGTTCTTTTTAGCGGTAAACGCGCAACCTTGTGTCTTCTGAGGATTAAACTGGACTAGATTTAGTCGCTCCCAATTCGAGACTTTGTCCAGCAAAGACTCGACTTCAGACACAAGTTTTTTCCGGTACTAGGTGACGTTTTCCCGAGAAATATTGGCACGGCCAGTGTATAGAGCATCACCAGTGCTGTCATCCGCATAGCAATTAATGCTACCGGCTTGCAACATATCATTGATATGCAGAAGAACCAGCGTTGGTGATAGCACGCAGCCTTGTGGAACACCAGCGTTAATAGGCTTGTAGTCGGAGCATGCACCGTCTACAACGACCTTGATGCTCCTATCTGCAAATTTCTCGGGAAGCCCATAGGAAGGGAGCTTTGAAAGAAGCGCTTTGTGCCAAACCCGATCGAAGGCCTTCGCAATGTCCAAACTAACGGCCAATGCCTCCCCCTTGGACTCTACTGCCTCCGCCCATCTATGAGTTAAGTAGACCAGAAGATCACCAGCTGATCGACCCCAACGAAAACCGTACTGGCGGTCACTAACCAGCTGGTGATCCTCAAGGTATCGCATGAGGTGGCAGTTTATAACGGATTCCATTATTTTGGAGAACAAGGGGGTGATGGCGATAGGCCTGTAGTTGGACGGGTCTGAGCGGTCACCTTTTTTAGGGATCGGGTGGACAAAAGCTGTCTTCCATGATTTCGGGACTACGCCTAGGGAGGAGAAGTACCGGAAAAGTCGCGTTAGAACCGGTGCCGGAGCACACGTCCTCAGCACTATGGGCGGGATTCCGTCAGGCCCACTTGACTTGTGGATGTCAAGGGAGAGGAATGCTCTGCGAACCGAGCGCTGTGAGAACCGTACATCCGGCATGGAGCACTCACACCGCGGGATGGTCGGCGGTGTGTTCCTCCCGTCATCAACAGTCGAGTTGGACGCAAAAAGGGAGCCTAAAAGGTCGGCTTTCTCTTTTGCGTCGTGGGCCAGTGAGTCGTCCTCCCTGTGCAGAGATGGTAGTGATGGTTTACAGAAATTTCCTTGGATAGCCTTGGCGAGAGACCAGAATGCACGGGTTCCCGAAGGAAGGCGAACTAGTTTCTCGCCAATTCTGCCTATGTGCTCTGACTTTACCTCGGCAACAACTCTTTTGAAGGACCTGGAGAAGAAGTTATACTTCTTTTTAAGTGTGCTGGTGTTTACATCCCGAGTCGCCGAAGCCGCAGCCCGGGCTTGATAACACTCCTGCTTACTGCGTAATGCAGTCTTACAGGAGCGACCAAACCAAGGCTGAGATCTGCCTCCGATGGGTACCACAGATGATGGAATAAATAGTTCCATTCCCTGTAGCACTACATCAGTGGCAGAGTCAGCAACAGCGCTGGGATCATCCGGCGAGAAGCAAACCCGCCCCCAATGGTAGGAAGCAAAGAAAGACCGCATTCCGTCCCAATCCGCTGACTTGTAATGCCAAACACGGCGGCAACCTGCAGAACGCAACCGCGAGGGGAGCGTGAGTGGCACCATACTCCGGATCAGACAATGGTCCGAAGAGCCAAGAGGGGCATCGACGGAAACCTGATATCCGTCCGGATGAGAGGTCAGCAGAAGGTCCAACAGGGAAGGTGTATGATCCTCAACATCTGGAATCCGCGTAGGCGATGTAATTAATTGTGTCAGACCATATGCCAAGGCAAAGTCATAAACAGATCTCCCCTCATGATCGGTTAAACGTGAACCGAGCCATTCGGCATGGTGGGCGTTAAAATTGCCAAGGATCACGATCGCTGCGGATGGGACCTGTTGTAGCAAGGAATCTGTAGCCATTTGGACGTGGTCGATGAGTCGGTCTGTTTCGGCATTACTGCTATGGGACCTATAAAGGCACCCGTAGACGCGCGGATGGTCGTCGCTGTCTACGCGTAGCCAAAGTATGGACAGGTCCGAACCTTCAAAACTGCCGAGGCGTCGAGAACAGATGTCCTCTCTGACATACACGCAAACTCCAGCCCGAGGCACAAAGGAGTGCTCCAATTTGTACCCCGGGTAGGAGAGATACGAAATATCAGCCGGAGAGGAAACCTGCGTCTCGTTCAGAAAGAGCAAGGCCTCGAGATGGTATTGGACGGCGTTTAGGTTAGAGTGAAGTCCACTGATGTTGCAGAAATTCACGGATAGCGTGGCAGGGGTCGCCTTGGTATTCTTGCTCAGTTTGCCCCGAGCAGTTATGTTTTTGAGCTGAATTTTGCCCCCCCCCCCAGAATACGCGGGGCAGCCTGAGCACTCACGCTCAGGATCGGAATAACATGGTCGTGGATGCTCAGTGAGGGATTCTCCAGGGGTACTGGTACCCTCCTGGGGTAATCTATCGTGTAATTCCGCTACCATGTTGATGGGGGGGGGGAATTGGGCCTCCGGCCACCTGCACTCACCAGACGAAACGCAGAAGCGGAGCTTCTACTTCACGCCGGTATTCTGGAAGGTCGTGGTACCAACCCGGCTCGAGCCGGCCCATACGTGCAACAGCAAAAACTGCTGCGGGGCTCTACCACCGTCAGAGCTCTACCACCGTCAAGTCTTTATATTCTAGGATATTAGTGCTATTATTAGCCTTTTATCTTTCACCTGACTCAACATCATGTGTATAAAAGTGAAGTTTAATGATGATGCGTTGATGAATACATTGTAATAATTTACAAGTTACAGTAACTAATTTCGAATCCTAGCCAAAACCTTAAATTGTGTGTAAATTGATATGTCAGCTGATAATCACCGGAACTGTAAGTTAGTTGAAGTTGCAATGGGCCGGTGTATGCAAGTTGCAAAACTAACAATCGATTCGGCTACAGGCAAACTAGAGCCCCCTAATTAGATGAGTCGGCGACCTATGCAGGAGTCGATGAATGCAAATAGCTCAGGACCTTCTTTTACATCACATCGGCACGGGTAGTTTAAGAATAGAGAGTGTTTCGGCGTTTGCTCATTTCAACACTTCGGGCGCTATAATATCACTTGCACAGTTGATAGCTTTCGACAGTTTTCGCAAGTCGTCTTCTTTATCCGCCTGAACTATTCCACTGGCATAGGGATCATCCTAATGTAGCAAGCAAGGATTTTCTATTAAGCGCAATGTTTGGCAAGTTTGTAGGTGATCGCAGTAGTTGTCTGAGTATTTACATCTAACATAATATAAGTTCCTTCACTGCTGGCTGGATGAGGAAGCTCAAGGTCGCTCAGCGAGCTATGGAGAGGGCTATGCTCGGAGTTTCTCTGCATGATAAACTTAGAAATGAGGATATCCGCAGTAGAACCAGAGTGATCGACATAGCCCAACGCATCATTAAGCTGAAGTGGCAATGGGCCGGCCATATAGCTCGAAGAACCGACAACCAATGGGGAAAGAAGGTTCTCGAGTGGCAGCCTCGTATCGCCGGACGAAGTGTAGGGCATCCCCCCACTAGATGGAGTGACGACCTGGTAAGATATGCAGGCAGTCGATGGATGCAGGTGGCTCAGGACCGTGCTTTGTGGCATTCTTTGGGGAAGGCCTATGTTCATCAGTGGACTTGTGAAGGGCTATAATGATGATGAATGATGATAATATAAGTTGGTATTCCGTCATCTATCGGAAGCTTCAAGGTCCTTTTGACATTTTCCATGAGTCCCTAAGATACTCACGTGTTGAAATGGGATGATGGTTCAATTACGCCACCAACGCATAAATATCGTATACGTGGTCTTAATAGATCAGAAAGTTGAATAAAACTATTTTTACGGATTTTATCGCGTTTAATTAACTTATTTTATATTCCCGACGTTTCGGTTGCTTTCCAGCAACCGTGGTCACGGGGACTGAGTTGATTGACGTCCCGATGTCAAAGTTAACCCGGAGTACCTTCAGCTTTTTAATTATTAATTTTGGTCCGATCTACGCAGAATGAACTAACTGTGTCTTGAAGTCTTACAGTGGTATGCTTGGGTTTAGTTTTAATTTCATGAATTACAGGATCCCAAGCAGGTGGTAGTACCCAGCCTCCCTCTCTATTGAAATTAGGATGTTTTTTAATTTCA